ACGTCTGGATCTAAAGAAAGAGCATCCAAGAGCCAGGATCGCGAATCAGGCAGCAGAGACAAACGGTCTGCTGTATCTGTTGATAAAGTCAAAGAGCCTCGGAAGCCCAGGGACTCAGAGTCCCGCCGGGTGCGTGAGCGCGGTGAGCGGGAGCACCGCATGCAGGCCCAGTGGGAGCGCAAGGAGTGGGAGCGGCTGGAGATCTCCCGGGAGAGGCTGGCCTGCCAGCGGCAGCGGCTGGAGCGGGAGAAGCTGGCCTTCCAGCGGCAGCGGCTGGAGCGGGAACGCATGCATGTGGAGCGTGAGCTCCGCAAGGAGCAGGAGCGCATCCGCTGGGAGCGTGAGGAGCTGCGGCGCCAGCAGGAGCTGCACTACGAGGAGCGACGGCCCTCCATACGGCGGCCCTACGACCTGGACGGCCGACGAGATGATGCCTACTGGCCAGAAGCCAAGCGGGCTGCTCTGGATGACCGCTACCATTCTGACTTCAGCCGCTCAGACCGCTTCCATGACTTTGGCCACCGTGACCGTGGCCACTACTCCGACCACTCGGTAGACAGGAGAGAAGGTTCCAGATCGATGATGGGAGACAGAGATGGACAGCATTACCCCAATCGCCATGGAGGACCAGAGCGCCACCGCCAAGACTCCCGAGATGGATCCGACAAGAGGATGAGTGGAGGCAGGGGGCTGCCTCCCCCACCCAGACGTGACTGGGGGGACCATGGCCGAAGACTGGATGATGACCGTGCATGGCCAGGTGGTGCTGAGGGAGGCATGATGGACAGGGACCACAAGAGATGGCAAGGTGGAGAAAGAAGCATGTCTGGCCACTCTGGGCCAGGCCACATGATGAGCCGGGGCGGGATGTCGGGGCGGGGCAGCTTTGCCCCCAGTGGAGCCTCCCGGGGCCACGTGATGCCGCGTGGCGGGATGCGGGGAGGATTTGGAGGCCAGGCCCGAGGGAACAGACCGAACAAAGCCCGCTTCACCCGCCGCTACTAATGCTTTCCACCCGCACCTGCCTGTGGCCACCAGAATCTGTTCTATTAGTTCTCTTAAACTGTGTAAAAACAACTTTTTTTTTTTTTTAAATCGGCTGCCATATTGTAGCTCAATACAATGTGAATCTGGGTTTCGTTTTGTTTTTTGTTTTGGTGTTTTGTAATAAATGTGTTTCTGTTCACATACCCTTTAAAAAAAAATAAAAATCTCGCTTTCCACAGTATGTAGTTCTGTGTTATTTTAAAAATCTTTTTCAGTAAAACTTTATGAAGACTTTTCTCCTTCCATCTTGACCTACTCATTCTTGCCTTTTACAGCAGCTCCAATATTAATGTTTCTTTCTTCTCCAATTGTACATAAACCAAAACTATCATTGTAACTTTTGTATTCCAGTCACCCATTATTATCAATGCATCTTGATTGCATGTTCGATCTATCTCCGACTGTAAAAGTTGGTAGAAATCATCTATTTCTTCTTCTTTG